AGTGAGTGGTTTGGGGAGGAGGCAGGCCGGTAAACCGGTGTTGAGTTTAAGACAAAAGGATGTCCTTCCACATGTCCGATTCAGTGCAGAATAGCTGGAACTGGGAGAAGGCCTGTAGCTCTTCTCTGCGTAGGAAATACTCACTGTGATCTTCCCCAGCCAAGGTTTGTTGTAAGTCGAGTGCCGCAAGGCGAGACATGTAGGAACGAGCGAGAGACGAAGAGAGGCAAGACGAGAGACGAGACAGGAGACGTCAGAGGGAGAAGAGGGGGGGAAAACTTTGATAAGTAGGGAGAGCTTAGTCCAAGCTAATCGTTTATAATGCCGTTTTTTCTTGCCTCTTTGTTGCTTGGTTTGTTTGCGGAGGAAATGGGGACCTAGCACGTCAGGCTGAGCTTAGAAGACGACGTACTGTCAGTGGCGCGTCAGTTTATGAAGGTGCCCTTCGGGTCCCTTCTTCATCCTTTCTCTCATTTACCTCCAAGAAGTCAAAATAGAAACAAACGCAAAACAACGTTTTAAATCTCGCGCGCGGCTCATGTGCTCACCACTCGAGTAGGCGAAAGCGTTGGATAGGCAGAATGTGAGAGATGATATTAATCTTGCTTAAGACTGTAGAGAGTAAGGTGAAATGTGTGGTAATCAGTGGCACTTTCCCTCTCCGTCGCTCACTTCAGACTTTCCTTTGTCGGCACTGCGGCCCGTAGGAATTTCCGTTGTTTGTGGCTCTCATGCCACTGGCACAGTTTAATGGTAGGGCTGACGTGGCATGCCTTGATGCTCCAGAACTGCCATTCCCTCTGCCAGGCTTCTGGCTGTCTGCTATCTGCGGTCTTGGCTTAAGTTGAGCTAACCTCATTTTACGCACAGGCCACGGTATTTGTGCATCGACCGAGGGAGAGGAGCGGAACTAGCGTATGGCATTACACGCAGGCTCAAGATTATGGGATAAGACGGAGGCAAGACAAAGCTAATGACAAACTCGGTACTGTACGTGTATGCAGTCCACCAACAGAGTTTATGATTGTTATTAGTATATTGACGCTTAATTATCCTATCTGGGAACTGCTGAGTGCATGGTGAAACGCTCCCACACAACGAGGCACAGCAGCTTCCTAGAATATGTATTGACGGCCAATTGATGCGTATTTAAAATGATTGTTGTTCCCCCTGTTGTGGATCATGACACAGTCAGAACAGTACCTTTTCCGCCCACAATCTCACACTACTCACTTATGGATTTCTTATTATCAGTTTACTAGATAGTGTATCGGTGTAATGAAGCCATTAACTATTCAGTATCAAACAGCAGCTACATATCTTGTTTCGTGTAGGTAACGTTAAAAAAACCATATTCTTGATCATTCCCTGTTTTCAGAGAGGCCCAAACAAAAAATCTGACCCGCAGGGCACCGAAACCCCCAGAGCTAAATGACAGAGCAGTGAACTTCCAATGAAGGGGTAATAGATTAATCACCAATCGATCAATCAATTGAATAATTGCGTCGTTTGGCAGAGTGACAAAAAATGGGGTCCCTTTAGTGGGATTTGTTGTTCCATCACTAAATTAAAATTCCTGTGTAATTCCTGCTTCTTGGTGAGTGAATAAATATGGCAGATAAGAATTTAAGTAAGCTCTGATTTCAACAAGAAATCTGAGTATGAGCCTCTCATGTATCAGAGAGCAGACAAATCTGTTTTCTCCAATGCTCCATACTTGTAGAGTTAGTCAGAACAGTAGCCCAACACCATAAGGTGGTTTGTGTACAACAGCATATTGTCATGGACCTATTGACTTCAGTGAAGGCAAGGTTCCCAGAGACAGATTAAAGGTTCTGCCCCGAGAGCCTCTCCATACCGGCTCTCTCACTCAATTTAACACCAAAATCTGTTTTGAGCAATCTGCCGCACCTACTGTTCGCACTCAACTCTGTTCGTGATTAATTAGAAAATGCTCAGTTGTAATTGGAGCAGGAGAAACTATGACACAGGCTGTTTGAATATTTGTTTTCTTTTCCAGTGTTTCACCTAGCCTACACAGTATGTGTGCAGAAATTTTTTGGTCACATTCAATCAATCATATTTGTTTTCACGGTTAACTACTATATTAAAATAAATATATATGCTGGGGGGGGGGGGGGGTTTAGGAGTCATGGCAACCTCTACCTGGCAGGCTGCCCAGCACCCCGAGGTGGGGAGAAGTAGGGGCTAATATGGTGTCGAGCAGGAATGCTTAGTGCCTTCCAAAGTCAACTCTATGGGCGTGCTGGTTGCTTAAGATTTCAGCTCGGTTGCCAGAATTTTTTTGACAGAGCAAATACAAAAGACTGGAGGCAAGACAAGCTAATGACAAACTCGTACTGTATCTGTATATATTTGAACTTGACTGAAATAAAGTTGACATGACACACTCTAAAGCACGTGAGCTCTTTCAGCAAACACAAACAGTAGATCAGAGTCATTAAAAATCAAGTCAATTGAATAATGTGGCTTCGTTGGAGAGTACAAAAAATGGGGTACCCTTTAGTGGTGATTTTGTTTTTTTCCATACACTAAATTTAAATTCCTGTGTAATTCCTGCTTTCTTTGGTGAGTGAATAAATATGGCAGATTATAGATTATTTTAAAGTAGCTCTGATTTACAAACCAGAATCTGAGTATGAGCCTCTCATGTATCAAGAGCAGACAAATCTGTTTTCTCATGCTCCATACTGTAGAGTTTAGTCAGAACAGTAGCCAAACACAATAAGGTGGTTTGTGTAACAACACAAGCATATGTCATGGACCTATGACTCAGTGAAGAGCAAGGTATCCGCCAGAGACAAGATTAAAGTTCTGCCCCGAGAGCCTCTCATACACCGGCTCTCTCACTCAATTTAACACCAAACTGTTGAGCATCTGCCGCACTTACTGTTCGCACTCAACTCTGTTCGTGATTAATTAAGAAAATGCTCAGTTTGTAATTGGAGCAGGAGAACTATGACACAGGCTGTTTGATATTTGTTTTTCTTTTCTCAGTGTTTCACTAGCCTACACAGTATGTGTGCAGAAATCTTTTTGGTCACATTCAATCAAATCATAATTGTTTTCACGGTTAATACTATATTATAATTATAAATATATATGTATCACTTTAGGGCTGCACAATTAATGGAAATATTATGAAAATCGCAATATAGCCAAATCATAGAAGCTGCAATTTTTTTGATAAAGGCAAACCAGATGTCTCCAGATGTAATAACCTGTTTTTTGGTACAGACCCCAACAGATGTCATATTTTCTTCAATTTAATATTTTTTTCAGTGAAAATTAAAATTGTGATCATTCCCACTATGAATCTTATGGCAATCCTACTATTTGTCAAAATAATCCCAATATGATTTTTTTTTACCATATACCATCACACACATTACAACCGTTATAAGTGACTGAGAGGAGGGTAGCACTGAGGATGCTGTGCATAGATCATATCTACAAAAACATACTGGATTTCAGTGCATGCAGTCACAAATGTAGACATATTTGTTATTTTTATTTGTTATATTGGTTATTTAGTGTATTATCTTACTCAGTGAGTAAGGATGTCATAAAGTAACATGCTAGTACAGTGCTGCTAGAAATGTCAATTCAAAAACACATTGTTGTGTATGTGCTGACTCTGTGGTTGATTAAAAAAAGCAGAGAAAACAAATATAAGTAATCAAGCGCAGAAACCATAGAACATTCTGTCTTACAACCAGTGTTGATGACCACAGACTGGTGTGGTGGCCAAGACGAGCAGATTAAGATCTCTTTTCCATGGTGGAGAAAACTCTCCACTGGAGACTGGTACAAACAGGATTAGTACATCTTGGTAGTTAAATTGTTTTTTCATGCCATGCACAATG